GCGTCTCCACTGTCCTTTGCGACTACGACCAGCGGATTGGCCCCCGCTCTGGCAGCCTTGGAGAGGGCAGCCTGGTCGGGAGCGGACCCGGCGGCGGGAGTGGACTCTGGAGGTATCGTCGAGACGACCACAGACCCGGACGCCTGAACCAGGGTAGGTCTCGGAGTTTGGGACAACGACTCGAAGGAACTTGGGAAGGGAGGAAGGAGCCTGGGGTGGGGCACTTTTGGTGGCTGTGGGAAGAGGAACTTCCCTTCCCCCCCATCTGCCATGCAGGGGCGACAGCGAGTCCCTGCACTTAGGCCCCTGGGCTGGGACCCGGAGAGAGGGCGGGACTGGGTCCTCCTCCCTCCCCCAAAGGAGCATTCAGCTCAGGACGACTTTGACTTAGACTTGCTAGAGAACTAGGGCCCCCGAGCAGGGGGCGCTTGGACTGTGGGCTCAAGCCCCTCCCGCAGGGACGAGTGACATCTGTGGGGTTTGCTGACCCACCCCCTTCCCCTCCGGGGAGGGGATGATCGCACCCTATTGCCTGGACTCCTGAGCAGGGGTCCGGGGCAGGAGAAAGGTGAAAAGAGGGCAAAGGGGTTCACCGAGCCCCCCTCTCATGCCAGGAGGAGGTGATCGCACCCCGAATCCCTCACACACCTACATTTGCATCCCTAGCTCGAACTAGGGAGCACGTATACACGTATCCTATGAGATAGCAGACAGCAACTGCCATCACTGGAGCCTCCATATGATCAGTGCAGAGGCAAGGCAGAAACAAAGTTTCAGTACTGAGGTTCTTGCTGGGCAGCACCTACCTCCAGGGGTCTCTGCCAGGTAACTGGCGAACTGCACCCAGCTCCGGAGACCGCAGAAGGCTTTTGTGAGCTTGCCTCCGTCAGAGGCATGATAGCTCTGTGTGGGTGGGTGCTAGTGGAATGCCCCCTCCTCCCATGATGCTGAGGCATGGCTCTACACAAGGGTCTCAAGATGGTGGTGTGCCCTTGTGACGGCGTGTTGGGGGTTCCCCGTCTCCTGCACCCCGAGATGGCACAAACAGACTGCACAAGCCATGCCAGGAGGAGGTGATCGCACCCCGAATCCCTCACACACCTACATTTGCATCCCTAGCTCGAACTAGGGAGCACGTATACACGTATCCTATGAGATAGCAGACAGCAACTGCCATCACTGGAGCCTCCATATGATCAGTGCAGAGGCAAGGCAGAAACAAAGTTTCAGTACTGAGGTTCTTGCTGGGCAGCACCTACCTCCAGGGGTCTCTGCCAGGTAACTGGCGAACTGCACCCAGCTCCGGAGACCGCAGAAGGCTTTTGTGAGCTTGCCTCCGTCAGAGGCATGATAGCTCTGTGTGGGTGGGTGCTAGTGGAATGCCCCCTCCTCCTATGGCTCTACACAAGGGTCTCAAGATGGTGGTGTGCCCTTAGACCGGGAAACCACCAGAGCTCACGTGAGTGGCACTGGTAGCATCAGGATTTCCTGCACTGCGTGCAAGACCTCAGGTGTTGACAGGACTTCCAGTCGGTGGAGGCCCTCAACGCTGTGTGGGCGGGCTGCATTGTTTGACTGGAGCTGGTGCCTGACTCCCTGAGGGAGGAGTTGAACTGCCTAGAATGGGTCTTGGCTCTCCTCTGGCCCTTACCTTGTCCTTCCAGGAGCTGTGAGCTCTTCCCCTCACAAGTGTCTTAAGGTTCTTGGATGATGCTGGGGGAAGGGCGACTGGTGCTGCTCCGCATTGATACAGCACTCTTTAGAATCATAGAATACTAGGACTGGAAGGGACCTCGAGCGGTCATCAAGTCCAGTCCTCTGCCCTCATGTCAGGACCCAGTACTGTCTAGACCATCCCTGACAGACATTTATCTAACCTACTCTTAAATATCTCCAGAGATGGGGATTCCCCAACCTCCCTGGGCAATTTATTCCAGTGTTTGACTACCCTGACAGTTAGGAACTTTTTCCTAATGTCCAACCTCCCTTGCTGCAGTTTAAGCCCACTGCTTCTTGTTCTATCCTCAGAGCCCAAGATGAACAAGTTTTCTCTCTCCTCATGACACCCTTTTAGATACCTGAAAACCGCTATCGTGTTCCC